AAAAAAAAAAAAGAAAAATTTTGAGTCCTGTGGCGCCCGGGTGGCTCAGTCGTTAGGCGTCTGCCTTCGGCTCAGGTCATGATCCCGGGGCCCTGGGATCGAGTCCCGCATCGGGCTCCCTGCTCCTTGGGAGCCTGCTTCTCCCTCCGCCTCTCTGTCTCTCGTGAATAAATAAAATCTTTAAAAAAAAAAAAGCAATAAACACCCGTTCAGCTGTTTATACCACAGTCCAGGGTGGAAATGACTAAATTCTAGTAAGAAACGCACCAGGCCAGTCCCCAGGTCACCAAGGTGCACAGTGGCAGCCACCGGGGCTCAACGGAAGCGCCACATACTGGACTCTGGGCACGCTCCGAGGTGGGGAAGACCCAGGGCTAGAGCTCAGTGTGGCGACCCAGCCATGCGCAAACCACATCGCCCCACCAGGGTCCAGCACGTGGCACTCATTTACACGGGGCGCACGGCAGGTGGGCACCGTGCACCTGACCCTCCTGACCTCTCCCATGTGTGGCACCCACATACTTTGCAAATTTCACAGTAGTTGCATTCCGAGGCACGAAGCCCGTGTGGAACTGGACCTGGAACATCTTCATGGATGCCACCTGCAGACAGAGTGTAGACAGGAGACCCTCGAGCTGGGGAGGACTCCACCCGCTCACACTGCAGACACACACTTCACAGCTGACAGGCTCTGACAGTCTCCTGTACAGCACCCTCCCGACAAGCAGCTTCTCGGGGTCTGAGGTAGGGCAGCCCCAAAGTCGTAACTTAGCAGACGCCCCATGCAGACAGCCTCCCGCAATACGGGGATCTCCGGGTGTTTCAGGCTAAAATCCCCTCTGCCTTGGGCTACACAAGGCAGTTCTCGCTGAACACCGGGCCCGAGAACCCTCCACGAGAACTCACAGAATGACAGCCCGGGCTGGCGTGAGCGCCCACGTACCTTGGCCTGCAGTCTTCCTCCCAGGGTGGACCTGGCATGGTAAATGATAATAAGCACGTCCCCTTGCACGGTTATGCCCAGGGGAATGACTGCTTTGCCATCCTCGATTTTGAAATCCCTGAAGAGCAGAATGATGAGGAAAGGTTCACTTAAGTCACACACAGCTTTCCAGAGAGCAGTGGTTCTGGAAGGCTGCGGCAGCCCGGCAAGAACTTCAAGCTCCCCTAAAGCACCAACGCTTAGATCCACACATCCTTATTTTGCTGGTCTTCCTGCCAGATTTTTCTGGGAGGGGTGTTGCTCTGGGAACTGACTTTTTAAAAATATTTTATTTATTTATTTGACAGAGAGAGAGAGAGAGCACAAGCAGGGGAAGTGTCAGGCAGAGGGAGAAGCAGGCTTCCCGCCAAGCAGGGAGCCTGACGCGGGGCTCGATCCCAGGACCCTGGGACGATGACCTGAGCCGAAGGCAGACACTTAACCGACTGAGCCACCCAGGCGCCCCTGGGAACTGACTTCTAAGAAGCTACTCCTCGGGGCGCCTGGGCGGCTCAGTCGGTTAAGCGTCTGCCTTCGGCTCAGGTCATCGTCCCAGGGTCCTGGGATCGAGCCCCGCATCGGGCTCCCTGCTCTGCGGGGAGCCTGCTTCTCCCTCTCCCACT